CCCTTAAAGGGGAAAGGTTGCCTACCCCTGGGTTAGGTGCTCAGGGTTAAGAGCCAGTTTGGTTTTTGTGGGTGGCTGGGGGGTGGTTTCTCCCAGCCCCAGTTTGTTTTGGGGCATTTTTGTCTCCCCCTCAGGAGGTGACTGCCAAATCCCTTGGGTCCCTCCTCTTCCCTCTGCTGCCGCCTGTTAAGAATGGCTGCCTGGGGAAGCGGCCCTGCCTCTGTGTGGCTTGTGCCTCAGGGAAAGGGCTCTCTCCCCATCCTTGGCCCTGTTTTTCTCCCACCCGGGGAGAGGAGTGTAGGTGGACCGCTGCTTTGTGCTAGTTCCAAAGACTTGCGTGAATGAAGTGTTCCTTCCAGGGAAGAAAACTGGGCTGAAGAGCCAATTCATCACATGCTGAGGAGATGAGTAACTCTCCCTTCCCTCACAGCACAGGAACACAGGGAAGCTTGCCTTCTTCTGACTCAGACCATCCTTGGGTCCATCTAGCTCTGTGAGGTGGTCAGGAAGGGCTGGAGCTGGTATGCAGAAGTTCCCAGCTTCATTCACTGGTACCCTTGGATTTTTTTTTTTGGTTTTTTTTTTTTTTTTTTTTTGTGTGTGCCTTTCAGTTGTTTCTGACATATGGCAATCCTAAGGGGTTTTCTTGGCAAGTTTTGTTCAGTGGGTGTGCCTTTGCTTACGTATGAGGCTGAGAGAGTGCAGAATAGAGAGTGCAGAGGCTGAGAGATTGCTCTGCAGAGGGGCGGGATATAAATAAATAAATAAATAAATAAAATAAAGAATACCCAAGGTCACCCTATAGGTTGCCATGGCCAAGTAGGGGATCAAACCCTGGTCTCCAGAGTTGTAACCCAGTGCTCAAACCACTATCCCACACTGGCTCTCTCTTTCCAGGGCTTCTGGGTAGGGGCTAGGAAAACATACTGATCTGGAACTCTGGAACTCCCTTACTGTTGAGTGTTGGAGACAATATTGAACTCGGTAGACCCACTCAGTAGACCTTTCCCACTGGCTGACTTAAAAATAAGGTAGTTTTGCAATGAGAATAACTTGAACAATAGACCGATTAGGTATCCACCTCAGTACCTTACTGGCTTAGGGCCATTCATGGTCCTTGGAATGGGGGTCAGGGAGGTTTGAGTACTTCCCTTCACGACTAGTTTAGGCAGGGTTGAGCCCCCACTTCCGCGGTGATCAGGTGAAATTGGACCGTTCATCTATCTACTTGAGTATCTCTAGGGATGAAGTGTACTTAATGGTGAAGCCCTAAGAAATAGTGAGCAATAATAGAGGCTGACTGCAATGTATCTTCTTCACAGTTGCTTGGAAGTCAGCTACATTGAACACATGAAGGGCATTTCTAAGTACACACTGTGCCTGTAAGAGTCCTGGGACGTTATCACACGGGGGAAATCTGTTGGTTAATCCACACAAAT